TGGGTCATGGTCCTGCTGAAATTCCTTTTCTGTCTTTTCTCCATCCTGTCAGGATGTCAGGATGGGGCACATATGCCCAGTGTATTTTTCTAGCTGCTGGGGCTGGGATTCAAATCACATTTGGCCATGTGGGATCTGGCTCCTTTAATCACTGGGCTACATGTTGGGCCCAAATAACTTTTTTTTTTCTTTTTTTTAGTGTAAATGCATTTTATTTTTAGACCACCTAACCTACATGACATGTTTTTTTTTCCTTTTAAAAAAAATGCCTCCACTCTAAATAAATCACAGTCAAAATAAATGAAGAGCTCAAGATAACATCAGTCCCATTTGTCTTTAGTCCTGGTGTTTTGTGGATGACAAGCAGCAGTCAGTTATGATGACAGGTGATAGATCCAAAGTAATTGCCAAATTTGTTAACATTTTTCCGTTCTAAACCATCCTTAAAGAAAATTATATATGGGGTCACACCATCCTCACGGTAGTCCAGCAGTGTGACTATACCATCTGGATTCATGTTTTCACCAATAAACAACTGGTAGTTTTTGAAATTAGCAAGAATATGCTTGATTTGTTCTGCAGCCCCTGTCATAAAGGGTTTTACTCTTTCTGGTCTCTGTTCTTCAAGTTTGCCTTTGATTGATTTCATGTAATCTTTGATGGACTTCTTGTAGGTTTCTTTTTGTGAAGGTGGTTTCCGCAAGGAATGGTTCATGACAATGTCAACACCAATGACCACTGTGCTTTCTGTACTTTTGCCTTCAGGGCCTTTAGCGGAGGCATTTCCACCAATGAGCGAATCACTGATGTTACCCTCTGTCCTACTGACCATTTTCCCCTCCACCTCCAAGCACAGTCCATCCGCCATCTCCTGGATCTTGTAAATGTCGGAGAACATCTCATCGTGGCTGATGAGGTCCCAGTAGATAATCATGATGGCTGTTGGAGGGAGACACCGGCGCTTGCCGAGTAGGAGCCTGGAGCTCGGAGCGAGCACAGTGCAGCTGGAGCGGTGCTCGGAAGCAAGAACTTCTTAAAAAGTACTTTTGGAAGTGGAATTGTACACTGATTATGAGCATACACAGTGGAGTCAGGGAGCCTAGGTCTCAATCCCTTATACAACCTGGACAAATCTTTCAGCCTCTCTGTGCCTAAGTGTTCCAGTCTGCAAAATAGAGATACTAGAGATTGCCTGCTAGTGCTACTATGAGGAAGATTCCCAGTGCTTGGATGACTGCATCACGCTATAGTATGCACTATGTGTTAGCTATTATTACATCCTTTTGTAGCCACATACTACTTCTTACTTCTATTTCTAATACATAAAATGGAAGAGCCAATTTTCCTACCTTCACCGTATTACCTATGTCTCCATTCAACATTTCCAAAATGAAGTAACTGTCCAGTCAAAACTATTTATCCTAGATTTTTTGAGTGCCAGCGCGGAGCTGTACATTACTAGAAGGAACTCATAACCGACTGCTTTTCTAATGTTAGCGATGATAGGCTTTGTGAACTAAAGTGCTTGGGATCGTTAGCTACACCTCTGCTACCATCAGCTTCCAGGGGAAGAGACACTGATGCTGCGAGAAGGAAACTGAAATTCACACAAAGGCCTTGAGTTTGATTGTTTTCCTGAAAACTTACACATACTTTGGTATTTACAGCATACTTTAGCGTACATTACTTCATCTGCTCTTCATGATTCTATGTATGTAATATTAACTCCTTGTTTATTTTTGCATTATTAACTCTTTGTATGGGTGAAGAAACTGGCTCAGAGAGGACCATGGCACAGAGTAGTGAGGGTGGTGCTGGATCAGCCAGCTCCCTATGGTTAGGCATTTAAACAGGGACTACAAGATACTACTATTAGGACCAGCTCCACGGCACAGTGGTTAAGCACTGTGGATAGGGAGGCAGGGCCCACTTGGCTGATGGCGTTCTGAATCTAGCCCCAGTGGGAACACACCTTGGGTGCAGGTATGCATCCCTAAGATCCTGACAATATGGAGAAATGGAGGGAAAAAAATATTGCAGCATGACCTGGCCCCACAGGGGATTGTTCTTGTTCTATCCATCTAGTGTTCACATATGTCCTCTGGCATTTAAAAAATAAAATAAAATAAAATAAAATAAGGAGTTCATTCGATGGGCTGGCTCCACGG